TCCAGAAATTATCTCATGAGATTGTTGAAATGACTAAAGGACATATAATACATGTCAGGTATTCAGTATAAGGCTTGCAACTCTTTTTATTGTTGTTATCTTGGTCCTATTGATAATTTCTGCCAATTTAAGAATAATTAAATATGAAAAGAAAAAGTCTCAGGGATTATTAAAATTTCAAAATAATCATGGTTTCTAAACTTCCTTGCTTCTTCTTAGAGGAAAAATATTTGCTTTAAAGTGGTGGATCTTAAGTACCAGGGAAACAAGAGTTGAAAAGACTTCAAGCAAATAGAAAGCAAGAGCCTGAGTTTTTCTTAAAAACGTAACCATAAAATTTTGAGCAGATCAAGATTTCTATGGAATTTGGAAGGCGACATAGGTATGTATTACTATATTACAAACCAACAGCTTCTGAGTATTGAAAAATTCTAAACCATTTAATATATGCTGCTTTCCACTTTCCTGTTTCTTATATTACATATATGCAAGAAATGCAAATGTGGTTTAAATGACAGAAAAGCAAACAGTAATGGTGATGAATGATCTTTAACCAGCACATTTTATTATGATCAATGGTATAACTTTGCTCAGGGAGTACAAGTAATCATTTGCTTCATATTTCTTTATAAGACAGTCTACTTAATGGCTTCATAACTTAAAAGGAAGAATTTTGTGAATTGAAGAAGACCTTTTGGTTCTTTTTTTCAGTTTTATTGTTTTCTAGTTTTTCAATGTGAAGTTACCTTTGATAGAGATTCTAGTGAATGTAGTTAATTTTTCTTAGTTGAAAGGAAGTGTATCTGATTGCCACTAAATATGCTTTTAAATATTCTGAGGCAGAGGTTTGTATAAAAACAAACCTCTTGTTTGCAATGACTCTGTCCTATCATCTGAGAACAATTTTGATTTTTTTAAATAACAAGAAATTTTCTCTGGTTTGCAATATATTTCAAGACTTAGTGTATTCTAACATTTCTTGCTATTAAGAACTTCTAAGACCCCAACAATACTATAGTCGACTGTTAATAAGTAGAAAGTTGAGGACCAAGGCTGCAGATGAATCCAGCTTCAGAGGGGATAAAACCACAAGTGGTTCTATTTCAATTCCATCTACAATGTTTCTGATCTCATAGGAAAGCAAAGAGCTCTAATATAAGAGGCCTACAAATTCCCCCCCAATATTTGTCCGGGCTGGAGATTTATGATAGATGGCAAAGCGATGCAATAAAGTGGTATGGGACTTTTTTCAGGTTTCATTATTTATTATGAAAATAATACATTCACAGGATTAAAACAAAATCAAACAATAAAAGTCTCTTATCCCAGATTCTAAGCTGTCAACTTCTTGCATATTTGTCCAGAAAATTCCAATGCATACACAAATATGTATGTGCATCCTCCTTCTTTACACAATGGGAACATATCACACAAAATGTTCTGTACTTTGGTTTTCATGTAAAATTTTATCTAAGAGATTTTTCCACAGCTTCACATGTGTAGCAACCTCATTGTTTTAAAAAGCATCACGGTATTCCAAACTAGGGATGAACAGTCGTCCCCGACATCTGCAACAAGGGTGCAACAGACAAACTTGCACACAAGTCTTGTGCACATTTGGAATTTTATTTTTAGATCATTCCTAGATTTGTAATTAGTCACTGAAAGGGTAAATACCTTTCAATACTGATAGTATTTTCAAATTGGCCTTTGAAAAGATTGTATCAATTTTTACCCCCATCAAGGAAATGTGCCTTTAATGAATACCGTGTACTAACAAATGTTTTGATCTTGACAACATCTCCTGAGATGTTTGCCTTTCTTTCTCTGTTATCTCCATGTTTAAGCTCTACTCAATTGTCCATTGGGTTGCTGGTCTTTTTCTCCAATATGGTTAAGAGCTATTTATGTATTAATTAAATTAGCCCTTTGACTCATATGTATCCACAGATATTATAACTAGTTATAACTAGTTATCTTTTCTGTCTTGTGGCTTTGTTTGTGGTTTTCTTGCTTTGTATATTCAAGTTTAATAATGCCTTCCTGTAAGGCTTCTAGATTTTGTGTCTTAATTGAAAAGGCTTGTGCCCATCAATGAAACCAACCAAACAACCGACAAAGTGCCAAAATTTCCTCCTTGTGATGATGATAATGATGATGATGACTTTAAGCCCTAAACATCTAAAATTTATTTTATTATAAAGAATGAGATGGAACCCAAGCTTTATTTATTTATTTTTCTACTTTCCAACTGTCTCCCTGTTGTCTCAACTCATGTATTGAATAAACCCTTTTCCTCAATGGTTGGAAAACTTATCTTTATCACATTCTAAAATACCTTAGGCATTTAAATATTTCTTGGTCTCTATTTTAATCCATTAATTTATGTTTCTTGTCCTCTGACAAGATGAAACTCTTAACTTTTAGCTTTATAATATATTTATGAAGAGCTGGTGTTCTCTTATTACTCTATTATTTCAAAATTCTTCCAGCTATTCTCACAAATTATTTTTCATACAATGTTGGTGACCTTACAGATTCATTTATACACAGCAAACTAAAAAATATTCAGCCTTTCTATTCAATAACAATACACATATCTCCATTTATTCAAGTCATGGTATTTCTCTTTGTCTTTGAGTAGAATTTAAAATTTTCCTTTCTAAAATTCTGCAAATTTCTTGTTAAGTTTAAATCTATATATGTTCTTTCACATTGCTATGCTAAATGATACCTTATTATTACCTTTTAATTTGAATTGGCTACCAGTACATAGAAAAGTTAATGGTTACACAAATTTATCAGCCAATTTTCTGTATTCTCTTAATGGTGTTTTTTCAAATTTTTTTCTTTAAAACTACATAAGTTTTCCAGATATACAAAATCACACCATTGGTCATGAATGATAAATTTTCACCTTTTTTTTTTACAATCTAGTATGTCAACATTTGGCTGGATGCTGACTTTCTTGTAAAGTTTTGGATGAAAATGAAAGCTAACAGAAAGCTACACTGCATTTCACTGCATCCCTGAATCTCTGAAGAATTGTGCAAATATTGGAGCTCCCAAATCGTCCCTTAATTCTCATCTAGCTATTCTGAGTTTGAATGAAAACATGCCATGTAATTTAGTTTATATTTACTTTAAAAGGTAGTTGTAATCATTGGCGTGTAGAATATTAAATAATTTTGTGTAGAAATATAAAAAACAAATGTTTTAAGAAAGTAAACCAATCTCTCTCTCTCTATATATATATATATGTATGTATGTATATCTATAGCAGTGTGTTACCAACATAGCATGAAGTTGGCAGACGTGCTCGACATCAGTGCAGTTTTGTTTTTATTTATCATCTTCCTATATAGGCTTTTTCATTAATTTAAAAGAGACAAGCCTAAATATATTGTGACTCTCGTTTTAGCTTTTGTGATTTATTTCTTTTTCCTCTTATCATTAAAAGCTTATGTATTTGAAATCTTTATAAATAAATGAGCTGAAACAAATAAAACTCAATTCACTTGAGATTTTGAAGACATCTGGTGGAGTTATTTTCTGTGTAATTAGACCAAGAGGTGAGACAATTCCCTGAAGTAAGCCACCCTACAACTGGATACCCAGTTATTTCTGCACTCATCAGCTTGCATGCAATGAGCATATTGATTCACAAATTGACAAGCAATTATGTAGAGCTGATTTTATAAATCCATTTATGTTATGTAAGTATATGCCCCAAATGCTGTTTTAAAAGTTGCCTCTTCTCAGTCCTCTCATGGCTTTTTCTATTTCTTTTTGTTCTATTTCCTCAATATGCTATTTATGTTGTCAGGGACATTGAAAGTAGATCCTGCTCAAGTGCTGATCTCTACTCACCCCTCGTTAATCCAACACTTGGGTACAAATATGAATTATTTACAATTTGGTTTTCGAAAACATGTACCAAGTTATTACAAACAGGTATCTATAAGGGATAACAAAAGTATTTAAATGCTTATATTTTTGTCATATTTGTCACTATCTTGGAAATGTTAATGAACAAAGTCTTAATACTTAAAATATATCTTAATATAAAATCATAGATGTGAAAAGGATCTGAAAGTTCAAAGAGTTATTCTCCCTACTGAAGAGAAAAAACACTTAAACCACCATAGAAAGATGCATATTTTTCTAACTAAAAAGAATTCTAGGAGATCCCACAACTATCTTAAGTTATCCATCAGGGGATAAAGAATTACTGTCAAGAAAAGTTTTCTTTGTAGGCAATGTACATCCCACAGAATCGACTTCGTCCTTTCTATGCCTTCAGTATTTTCTCTTTAAGGCGATATTTACAAAGTAATAAGGTCAGGAGTTTGAACTTTGCCAAGGGCAAGATGCTCTGAGCAAGACCCATCCAGAAAGTGGCTACACTTGCCACTTCTGTTCCTGGATCCCCCACTGTCACTGTTCTCAGTCACCCTCAATTTAACTTTAGATAACAGTTAGAAAATTAGGATTTGTTTTTGATCATAAGTTAGGAACTTACAATACTTTGAATCTACAACATTTAAAAATTCCTCAGAAATGTATAAGGGGTAACTATGCATATGAATTTACATTTGACAGTGATGTAAACAAGTACGATTTTTCCTTAGTTGAACATACTCCTCAGATCTCAGGATATTTAGATATGACTAGTACACAAGTGCAATTTAAGGACATCTTTGACTAGGGCATTTAACATTAATTCATTCCATTCATTCACATTATTTATTTTCTGAGGCATGAACCATATTTTAATTTCATGTAGTACAACAGGAATCAAGTCAGGATTTATTCATCACATTTTACTTTGCAATGTGTGGAATGAGATCATCAGATCTTAACCAAAGCAATTCAAAACTTTTTACCCAAGGATAACAACTCCATTTTCAATTTTACTAATTGAACCCAGCATGAGGACAGGCCAAAGTAGTGACTAAGTGAACCTTGAACTGAAATCCAAAATGCCATGGAAAACTCACCGGAAGTTTCGTCTACTCTCTCATCTACTATGTGGTCCTTCTGATGAACCCATTCACTATTGCACTTGAAGTAGATCTGGGTGGCAGGGCTTGCTTTACAGTACAGGTTCACAGGCTTATTCTTCACAATATAGGCTTCTTCAGGCTCAATAAGGAAATGTGGCAAAGGCTCAGGTGGATCAGATGGAAAAGTTTCTGGGAGTTCATGAAAAAAGTCATCGTCTATGAAACAAGAAGAAAGTGGAAAATGGTCAAACCACTGTTACAACTTGCCTTGTACTTGCTGTTCATTTAAAAATAATTTCTCATAAACTAATTAAGTGACTTAAATGCCTGCTATGTGCCAAGCTGCACGCTAGGTCTATTGACTGGTTGAGGAATTAAGGATCTGGATTACTATTCTCCTTTTTATACACGGCAAAACTCAACATCGGGGAGGATAGATAGATACATAAGTTGCCCTGGACACACAGGTAGTAAATAGCAGAACTGGGACCAGAACTCAGGATTGTCTCACTTGAAAAATGTGATCTTTCCAATATATTTGTATTACTACACTTCCCATCACATGCTACTCTTGAGAGCAGACAAATGCAAAAGCAACTTCATTAGAAAAACTTGTGTGAAAAGCATAAGGCTCATAGATAAACTTTAAATCCTTTGTAAGGAGTTGAGTAGAAAGACTAGAAACATGAATTAAGAAACTTTATGTTTAGGTTCAAATCTACTGTTATTTTCAAAAGATGCCACTATGTGAAATATTCATTCATTCATTCAGCCAAAAAATATTTATTGAGCTAAATAAATATTAGCTCAATAACACAGATAATACAGAAATACAGATAATAGCATCAAGTTAGCCAATAGTAGAGCCATAGTAGAGCCTACAGTCTAAAAATACTGTTTGGTCTTATTTTGAAACCATACCACAAATGTCATCTGGTGTTACATGACTAGTAAAACCTATCCTCATTAGAATATCACTGAGTGTTATCATGAAGAACGATAGCTTTATTTTAATAGAGCTGAAAATTGTCAAACATATTTCTCCCACCCTGATGTTCTAACACCACTGAATAAACAAAACCTAAAAACCACTTTAGATATTTGCATACTTTGAGGTATGTTTTTCTTTAGGTTGGATTCCAAATAAAAAATAAAATATCATAGAATGCCTTTTAATAAAACCTACTACCATGTTTTATGAAAGTCAAGGTAAAAGGAGTCTTTCCAATACACTATAAATAAGTTAAGCCCGGCGAGTATCTTCTTTTGAAAGATAGAGGACAACAACACTATTATTAATTCCCTAAATTGATTAAATACCCTTGGCCAATATGTAAGGTTAAAGCTCATAGGTCACAATTAAAAATTTTTACAAGTTCTTTAGAAGTGCATATATTCAGTAGCAAATATAGGATATCAATATTGGTACTTAAAGACTGGTTGCTCAAATGTTACCTTGAAAATCATTTCATTACTCCTGTAGTTGTTGCCCTGTTTTGGAAACAGCCATTGGTGAAGTAGACATCTGTCCACTAAGAAACCTGGCCTGGGACCTTTGTCATCCAGGTCATGGGAGAGCTGTCAAATAGGAAGGATGCCCAGTTTCTGCCGATCTGTTTGGTGGTAAAGATTGGTTTCACTTGCATCACAGACAAAACTGGCTTTCAAAGCTGCTCCACGATGATAAATTCCTGACTCTGGAATGTAAATGTTTCCGCTACCTAGCTTTCTTTCTTGCTTTATCTCCTTAATTTGCTTTCTTCTGGCAGGGCATCATTTTTAGTTTTTCCATTGTTGAACATCAAGGACCCAAACTGTCAGCTTACTAAAGAATAATCTTGTTTCCATCAATTTTAGCTCCTCTAGTCGATATGCAAGAACGTTCAAGACGGCTTAAATAAACATAGCTCAGAAAGGCAAAGGGATGAGAAACTAACTATTGACAGATCCATCAGCACAAAACCGATGTCTTAAAGGCTTTATTCAACCTCTTTTTTCTTAAAGCACTTACTGTTATATGTGATGATGGACAGTGCTGATGATCAATAAAGCTCCACAAAATATATGATTCAAATTCTATACAAGGTTATCTATTGTTTTTATTTATTATAGATATTTATTGTTGTTGTTATTTTTCATGAAGGCAGAGGGTCAACTAGATTTTACTTTTTTATTATTGGTGTATGTTTGTATACACAAAAATGTGAACCCATTTAATAACTATACATTTATAAATTATGCAGAGTATAAACATTCTTTCTTTCAGCCATTGTTCTAGAAGGCGAAATTTGTTCCTTTAAAAAGAGTTATTGCAAGATACCAGATGACTGCACATTATCTTACCTTATTCAATAATGTAGCAAAAGTACTTACATGTTCACATCTTATAGAAAGACTACACAGAGAGGAACTAAAAATTGATTACCCTACCTTGCCAAAGCATGTATTTCTTTCTTCTGATTGTTTTATTGCAATCTACTGAGAAGACTAATGGAAGCTAAAACTGTCATACATGTTTTCAAGTCAAAAAGGGCTCTGTTAAGTACCAGGGTAAAAAAGTAATGCATTGTGCTCCTTGCTTTCTTTTTGGTTTGTGTTTGCATTTTATGTCTTTGCCCATTCATTTGTTTTCAATCTAAGTGATTGTGTTTCAAGACAGAAGAAAATTGGGCTTTATATTGTGATCCAATATGAGAGTCAATATTTTTAGTAAATTCTCATAAATTAATATGACAGAAAAGTAATGCATTTAGAAAATATGTGGGCAAACTAACTTTATATTTCTTTAATTTTGAGAAATAAAGCTATATCTTGGTTCGAGGCTACACACAGTATTGATTTTTCAAGGTATTTGGCAACACCTAAAATGCAGCTTATTAAGGAATGATTTCTATCATTTGAAAAGTTTTTTTCGTGTGATAAATCCAGTGTTTCTTTTATATGTCATTCTAGTTTCTGCAGAACCCATCTCTTGAAGTTGATCTAGAGATGCTTTAACCAACCACAACATATTAGTTTATTAATATTCCTTAGAATATTCATACAGTAAGTCCAAGTCTATGTATGTCTTGAATGAATTCACATAAGGCGATATGGCCTATCACATCAAATACTCAATTCAGGTGTTGGGAATGACATTAACAAAGAAAACTCAAGATCCTGAGTTAGTAGATATGTTTAGTGGGATAGCTATGACAAAATGCAAATGTACTGATTATCAGCGGAATCTCAGACTTGTGAAATTCTCGCCTTCTCCATTTGCAACAGATGGCCTAAGCACCTTACTCAAACACGGGAGCTGGTCCAGATAACAAGTTCCCCACCATCAAGTGAAGCACCCTGAGACCACTTTCTGATTCTTGTTCTAGACACAAATATCGAGTGTTGGCATTAATTTCCAGATAAAGTGGTATTTTAGAAATTGTCCTCTTATGAAACTTTTTATGAAAAATTTTCTTTTCTAGAGTAAGTTTTGAAAATTAAATGATAAAACCAATTCTGTTCAACCAAAATAATAAAGAAAAACATTTGAGTATTTAAATAACCAGCATGGCTACTTCTATATGTACTTAACAAGGAAAAAATGATGAGCTATAAATGCCATTTACTCTCCATGAACATTTACCTCCTGTGCACTATGCATTTGCCTCTCACATATATGGAGGAATCTACTTTTCCACTTTGGTAACCAGTTTTATTCAGATATCACCAATTTTCAAAAAACTAGAAATATGAAACACATTCTTAACACTAGAATGAAAGATCTTGAAGGCGTGGACTGTGCTGTTCTCACTGTCATTTTCTTTAAGTCTAGCATAGTGCCAGGTACATTATAAGAGGTCAATAAAAATCTTGTAAAATCATGAATATTATACTAATGGCAACTTAGATAAAAAAAAAGATTCACAAGCTATTTTAGAGTTTATAGTGCCTCAAATTCATTTACAAATATAAGATGTCATAACTATTAATATCTACAATTCAGGGATCCTGGTTAAAAATTTATTAAGAATTCTGAAATTGTGACAGTAGGACATTAAACCAAGCACTGTTCTTGTGTGACAGTACAGGTCACAAATCCATGAAGCCGGCCCTATCGACAAACGTCAGTTAACTGAGCATTCCACCTCATAAGTCTGAAAAATGAAATTACACTGTTCTTAGTGGATATTCATTTTGGAACATTTTTGGCATTTCCCAGCTTTTTATGGTGATTAAGTCTTTTGTAGGAAAAATGGTTTTTCAGACTGAGAAACTCAGGCTCCAATCCATCCTCTAAGCAAGTGTGTTTGCAATGGTGAGAAAGTGAAGGTGTGAGATTTTATCTGTTCAAGGCCTTCACTTTGTATCTAATTCAGAGTCCATTGGCTTGATCCAAAACAAGTAAAATCTCTGCCACACTGAGGTTAACTCTTTCAGGGCACTAGAGGACTGCTGAATACATGGAAATAAGGAAGTTTGAGATTCTACCTTGAGCTGGTAGACCAGTTCCTAGCATGCAATTCACTTTACTATAGAAAAAACCAGCTTTCTGATACTATTAAGGTCATGCTGCAAAAGTTATAAAAGAACAATTTTGATTTTTTCAGCAGAAAAATCAAAGAGTGCATCCTCTTATCACTTCATTTCTTAACATAAATATCCAAAGGAGTGATATCAGGGTGATAATAGAAACTCAGTTTGTGAACAGCAACCTCATACTGTCAACTTATTTCTGGCAACATGCTACAGTTATCCTAAATTATTATATTTTGTATATATGCACACCCCAGCTGCTGATATTGACTGCATCGTGCTATCTGGGAAAAATTACTTGATTAATTAAATTGCTAAACAAGTTGTCTACATGTAGTTCATTCAAATTAACCAAGTAAAATTTCCAAAGTTGCTTTTGTTCTGTACATTAAATTCAGTATTAACTTAAAGCTGTAATTGCCTTTTTTTATTTAGATGTAACATTAGTATTCATTTTACCCATCTCTAACATGTGACTTAATTATCCACTTTCTACTATTATATGATAATGACATTCCAACAGTAGTGTCATTTTTATCTTGATAACAGTAAATCTCTCATATTTCCTTTTCTGTTATCTTATACAGGCTTTTGCTTTTTCATTTATATACAAGAAGAGAAAGCTTTGTGCCATGTATTATTTTTATAGACTTTTATTCCACCTAATTCTTGACAGGAAAATATTATGCTATGAACATCAA